TGGGTACACGTGTGCATGTGTGTAGATTGGAGGTGGGTCTCTCCAGACAAAGGGAACAGCTAGGGCAAAGGCCTTGGGGCTGCAGTGAGGCAACTGGATCTGAGCTCTCCACTCTCCCCTAAAACCTCTACACCAATAGCACTTCCGGGATAGCAGGAAAGAGTCCCCAAGAGCACAGCGATGAAGGTAATGGAACTGAACCGAATTCCATTGAAGTCAGGGTGGAGTGAACCTCCCATGCAGACCCCTCAGTGAGACCAGCACCCTGACAAGTCCTCCAGGCACCCCGTGCCCTTTTCCCTCTCGCAGTCTGGACCTGGAGTAGCAAGAGCCCTGGGCTGCAAATCCCAGCACCTGGGTTCCCTTTGGGCATTGCTCTCTCTGAGCAATGCTTGAACACCCTGCCTCTCTCTGAGCCCATGCTTGAACACCCTGTTTCAGAGATGTACTGGTGACTTCCTTAGGTGACATTTTGTAGTGAAGGCCAGAGGCCCTGTGCTAAAATGCAAATATGAAGGCTTGAGAATTTATTAGGTTTTATTTTCTTTGCTACATTAGCAGCAGCTCTGGACTCTTGTTTTCTATCATAAAACTGCATTTGAATAACATGAACCTCAAAAGCCATATGTAAATAAAAATGTGCTAGCTATGCATGGAGAAATTAATAGAAGCACAGTGACTCTGAATGTCTCATTCTTTGTTGGATATACCAAATAAATATGAACAGGAGATATGGGGGTTTCTGTTGTTTTGTTTTTTAGTGATCAAAGTATTTTTTTATTATTAGTTTCAGGTATACAAAACAACACAGTGATTAGACAATTATATACCTCACAAAGTGATAACCCAATAAGTCTATTACCCATTGGACGCTGTACATAGTTATTACAATATTTTTTACTTTATTCCCTAGGTTGTACTTTATATCCCTGTGACTTTTTTTTAATTATACTTCACATTCAATATTATTTTATATTAGTTATAGGTGTGCAGTGTAGCATTTATATAATTTATGAAGTGATCCCCCCAATAAGTCTAGTACCCACCTGACACTATATATAGTTTTTATGATATTATTGACTATATTCCCCATACTGTGCTTTACATCCCTGTGACTCTTTTGTAACTACCAATTTGTACTTCTTAATTCCCTCACCTTTCTCACCCAGCTCCCCTAACCCCCCTCCCATCTTGTCACCATCAGTTTGTTCTCATATCTATGGGTCTGTTTCTGTTTTGTTGGTTTGTTTATTCTGTTCTTTAGATTCCACATATAAGTGAGATCATGTGGTATTTGTCTTTCTCAATCTGACTTATTTCACTTAGCATAATACCCTCCACGTCCATTAATGTTGTTGCAAATGGTAAGATTTCATTCTTTTTTATGGCAGAATAATATTCCATTATTAAAACTGTAAATGTACCACAGTTTCTTAATCCAGTCGTCTACCGATGGGCATTTCGGTTGTTTCCAAGTCTTGGCTATTGTGAATATCACTGCAATAAACATAGGGGTGCATATATCTATTCAAATTCGTGTTTTGAATTTCTTTGGATAAATACCCAGGAGTGGAATTGCTGGGTCATAAGGTAGTTCTATGTTTAATTTTTTGAGGAACCTCCATACAGTTTTCCATAGTGGCTGCACCAATTTGCAATCCCACCAACAGTGCACAAGGGTTCCCTTTTCTCCACATCGTCACCAACACTTGTTTGTTGATTTATTGATGATGGCCATTCTGACAGGAGTGAGGTAGTATCTCATTGTGGGTTTTATTTGCATTTCTCTGATGCTTAGTGACATTCAGCATCTTTTCATATGTCTATTGGCCATCTGTATGTCCTCTTTAGAGATATGTCTATTCAGATCTTCTGCCCATTTTTTAAATTGGATTGTTTGTTGTTGTTGTTGTTTTCTGTTGAGTTGTATGAGTTTTTCATAAATTTTGGATATTAGCCCCATATCAGTTGTAATATCATTGGTGAATATCTTCTCCCATTCAGTAAGATGTCTTTTTATTTTGTTGATGGTTTCCTTTGCTGTGCAAAACCTTTTTAGTTTGATGTAGTCCCATTTGTTTTTTTCTTTTGTTTCCCATGCCCAAGGAGATATATCAGTGAAAATATTACTAAGGATAATGTCTGAGAATTTACTTCCTATATTTTCTTCTAGGAGTTTTATAGTTTTGGGTTTTACCGTTAAGTCTATAATCCATTTTGAGTTTATTCTTGTATATGGCGTAAGAAGGTGGTCCAGTTTCATGTTTTTGCATGTATCTGTCCAGTTTTCCCAGCACCATTTATTGAATAGATTGTCTTTACCCCAATGTATATTCTTGCTTCCTTTGTCATAGATTAAATGACCATACAGGCGTGGATCTATTTCTGGACTCTCTATTCTGTTCCATTGATCTATGTGTCTGTTTTTATGCCAGTACCATGCTGTTTTGATTACTGTAGACTTGAAGTGTAGTTTGGTATCAGGTAGTATGATACCTCCAGCTTTTTTCTTTTTTCTCAGGACTGTCATAGCTATTTGGGGTCTTTTATGGTTCCATATAAATTTTAGAATTACTTGTTCTAGTTCTGTGAAAAATGCCATTGGTATTTTGATAGGGACTGTGTTGAATCTATATATTGCTCTGGGTAGTATGGACATTTAAACTATATTAATTCTTCCTATCCATGAGCATGGTATATGTTTCCATTTGTTTGCATATTCTTTAATTTCTCTCTTCAATGTCTTAAAATTTTCTGAGTACAGGTCTTTTACTTCCTTCATTGAATTTATTCCTAAGTATTTTTATTTGACGCAATTGTAAATAGAATTGTTTTTCTTAATTTCTTTTTCTGCTAGTTCATTATTGGTGTATAAAAATACAACCAATTTCTGAATATTAATTTTGTATCCTGCTACTTTATTAAATTCATTAATCAGTTCTAATAGTTTTTTGATGGACTCTTTGGAGTTCTCTCTATATAGTATCATGTCATCTGCAAATAATGACAGTTTTACTTTTTCCTTTCTGATTTAGATGTCTTTTATTTCTTTTTCTTGTCTAACTGCTGTGACTAGGACTTCCAGTACCATGTTGAATAAAAGTGGTGAAAGTGGACATTCTTGTCTTGTTCCTGATCTTAAGGAGAATGCTTTTAACTTTTCCCCATTGAGTATGTTATTAGCTATGGGTTTGCATATATAGCATATAGTTTGCTCTCTGGCTGTTATGAATAATGAACATTTGTGCACCCATTTCTGTGTGGATGTGTATTTTCATTTCTCTTGAGTACAGGCCTAGGCGTGGAATTGCTGGGTTATGTGATAACTCTATGTTTAACATTCTAAGGAGTTGCCAAACTGTTTTTCAGAGAGGCTGCATGTTTTACCTTCCCACCAGCAGTCTGTAGAGTTCATATTCCTCCACGTCCTCGTCAGTGCTTGTATTGTTTTCTCGTTCATTGTAGCCATTCAATATGAGTGTGAAATGGTACCTGGTTGTGCTTTTAATTTGCTCATGCAGAAAATGTTAATTTAATTACTTAATTAAAAATAATTCTTTAAATTTAAAACACACATGTATTTCTATCTGTTTTAATGCTGTGTATTTTTTTCATATTTTTTCTCTCAATACCATTGATTAAGTGGTGACTTTTCAGTGAGTGTGAAGCTAATTTGAGCTCTATTCCATTCCTTGCTTCGATTTTTCTACTTATAATCCAGTACCATAAACTTTTAATGACAGACACTTAATAACATGCTTAATGCTTGGAATCCTCTCTATTATTGCTGCATCACCCAGCAAAGAGCCTTTGATATAATGGTCCTTTTTTTTCTTTTTATCTAATTCTAACTTAAAATGTTTATTATGAAATATTTAAGGCATACGAACATTTTTCATAGCTGCCCTTTTTTTGTCTAAATGACTATTATAATTTTATCAAGTTTTCTGAAGCTAAGCCCAACATGAAGGCGCCATTCTCCTGACCTAATTACCTTCCAAAGGCCCCATCTTCGAATACCATTACACTGGGGATTTAGACTTCAACATATAAATTTGAAAGGGGGAGGGTGGCACAAACACTCAGTCCATAGCAAGGCTTTATCTCGATTTGCTCATGCCTCTCTTCATTTTTTCTGTTAGAATTTGACAATTTGTTCAAAAATATATTATTTAGTACCCCCAGTACCTTCTCAACAGGACCTATTTTTTTTTTATTTCTAACTGCAGTGCTTATCTCTGTTATATTAGAATGTGCCCTACCTAGGTGGATTTATCTAAAGTTCTGGAACTTTGTAGTTACTTGCCTTATCATACTTCATAGATACACAGTCAGCGCTCACACTGATGTCTTGCCTTTCTTTTTCTTCCACGTACGTTTTAGTCATCTTTTTTCTTGTTCATTCCGCATTGTTAGGCAAACTCTCTAAAGCTGTGTTCCACGGGCATTTGTACCAGAGCATCATTTTAGTGTGCTTTTGGTGAGGCAGTGATCGATGCCTCTGGGTTTTCTTATTAAGAAGAATGTTTACTCTCAATTGGCTAAAAACTACTTCATACTGTATTGAGAAAGAAGTTTGCAAATCCTAGTCTTTCTGGAATTTTATTGGGAAAGAAAGTTGGCCTCTGCAGTGAAGATAATTCCATTTATTCCTCCCAGTAAATAAGCTGTAATAAGCCAGCTGGATTTGAAGAGCAACTATGACGCCACAAGTCACTGTAAAGTGAATATTCAAGTTGTAACAGGAAGAGGGGCCTCCTGTGGGCCAGGTGTGGTAGGAGGTGACCCCAGGGAGGGTTGAGCAGTGTACAGTCCAGGGTCAGAAAGAGCTGGGGTCGGGGAAGAACAGGACCTGTGCATGAAGGCAAGGGGAGTGTTTCTGGGTCAAATGTCCCCAGAGATGTCTCTGGAGGCAGGGGTAAGCACTTGGTGCCTCTTTTGCAGCATTCCTCTTGGATTTTGGAATAATGGGGAGAGCACCCTGTCTCCTCTCTTCTTAGGAGCCTGCCCTATGGAAACAACCTGCAAATCCAGCTTAAGGCACAGAACTTGGCCCAGGTACCGATGAGACCCTCTCCACAGACACCCTAGAGCATCTATGATGAACCAGGAAGCCAAGTAGGTGATCTTTTCCCTTTGCCTCCTCTTTTTCCCTCTCATTACTCCTTCACTCCACCTCATACTGCCAAGGCTGTTTCCTATCCAGATTTACCCCACTAGGCTGTCCCCAACACAACAGACCTTCCCTTAGCCACCATTCAGCATGAGAGTGAAAATCATAGGATGCAGAAAATCAGCAAGGTCCTGAGACAGCATCTAATCTACCCATTTCACAGGTGGTGTGACCAAGGCCCAGATAGGGAAGAGACTTGCTCAAGGTCATACTCTGAGTTTATTGGCTAGACTAGAGTAGTTTATGCTGCAGTAACGAACAACCTCCAAAGTCCCAGTGTCTTATGACAACAAAAGTTTATTTCCTGCTCCTACTTCTTGCCTATTGTGAATTGACTGGGACGCCTATTCCCCATTATCCTCTTTCCTGGACCCAGTCTGAAAAGGCAGCCAAGATCTGGAGTACTGGTTGGTACCTGTGGTGGAGGAAGAGAGAACAGGATGAGTCACACATTTGCTCTTAAAACTTTTGCACGGGGCTGGCCGAGTGGCTCATTGGTTAAGAGCTGGCTTGGGACGCCAGCTCTGAGCAGCAGGGCCCCAGTTCGGATCCCACATGAGGGCTAGTGACACTGCCTTCTACAGCTAAGATGGTAAACAACAGCTCGACCTGGAATTGGATTGCCATGAGTCGCTGGCAACGGCATAGGCTGCAGCCCCTGCTGCAGTGGGCTGCCGTAAGCTACCGTGTGTGGCTGGCAGCCAGCGTGAGCGGCTGGCAGCTGGTGTGAGCTGCCAAGAGCCGCCATGAGCGGCTTTCCAGAAGCCGGCGACTGATCTGCCTTGCCCGGGAAGAGCGCAATGATGGTGCCAACTTGGGCCAGTGAAGCAACGTCTTCCACAACTAGACTGAAGAACAAAACGACAGCAATTTGTCTGTTCCCCTCCCCCAATTCCCCAATAAAATCTTTAAAAAACAAACAAACAAACAAAAATTTTGCACAGACATGACACGGATCATTCTGTAGCATATTTCATTGACCAACGCAAGCTTCATGGCAGTTTCCAATTTCAATGGGGCAGGGGAGTGCAGTCCTACCAAGGGCCTAGGTAGAGGAGAAAGAGACTATGTGAGAATTAGTTCTAGAGTTGGGACAGGAACGCTAGTCTCCTGACCCTGGGGCGGAGGATCTATGTACTATAATCCTTGGCCTCCAAGGCTATTTCCCCACAGAAGTCTCAATGACCAATAATGATGCAATATGCTTTTCCTCCCAAGACAGTTCTCCTTAAAGAGCTTGATGTTTTACCCCAAGGGCATAGAGCACCAGTGATTTCTTAATGGGCAGCATGGACTTTGGACACTATACCCCAGAAAAGAAGCTGTGTCCTAGGCCATGGCCACATCCTCTTGCCAAACTCACACAAAGTTCAGGGACTTCACCTATGTCTGGCACCATGTAGGGTCCTAAGGCCTTGGAAGTTTACTGGCCTTGGAAATTTACTGGCTCAGACTGAGAAATCTCAGTTTTGAGCCTGGCTCTGCCATGGATTTGCAGTATGACGTTGGGCACATCCTTTATCTGTTCAGTGGAGATGGTGATTCCTGCCTACTCTATGGATGTGAGCATGTTTCATGAATTCTGAAGCTCCGGTTGGGAAGGGATGACCAGAGGGGAGTGGGGACACATACCTAGTAGGTTTCTATTTGGAGTTAAGTGAGCAGCTGGGGTCTGAACCCCAGGACACATTGTCCTTGTCCCAGCCTCTGGGAGTTGGTAAGGCTGGCTCCTAGTGGGCCTCCTAGCTTTTTTGGAGTTAAAAGTGGGGGTCTCTAGAGACACCAAGATTAGATGAGATAATAAAGCATTTATAACAGTGCCTAACACATCGTAAGTGATTTCTGAGTGTTTGCTACTATTATTAAGAAAATTGTACCAGAAAGTACATTTGGAAATATAGCATATTCCACTATATGATGGACAACCAATTAGTTAACTAACCCTCAATTGCTGGACATTTAGGGTGCTTCCAATATTTAACTATTATAAATAGTCTTTCAGGACACAGCTTTGTAATTAATATTTTTGTGTACATACATGATTGTTTCCTAAAGCTAGACTCCTTTTTATGTAATTGCTGGATCAAAGGGACTGCATACTCTAGGCTTTTGCTATCTAAGTGCACTTGCCTTATATTGGTACTCTCACCAGCAGGTTGTTGAAGAGTTCCAGTTTAGAAGGGAAGAATTTGCTTAGAAAGAGAGGAGAGAGGGTTCGCATTAGCTAAATTAGATTTCACTGTGATTATCAGAAAGCCCTAAATAACAGTGGGTTAGACAGACTAGAAATGTATTTCCTTGTCATTTAATAGAAGTTCAAAGTCAGAGAGTCCAGAGCAGGTGGAAAGCTTTACCCCCCACCTTCCTAAGCACTGGCTTCCACCTCACGACCCAATGTGGCCACCCAAGGTTCAGCCATCACACTGGCATTCCAGCCAACAGGAAGAAGCAAAGAAGGATATACACTTCCACTTACATCTCATTGGCCAAAACTTAATTACATGGCTACATCTAACTGCAAGGGAGGCTGATAAATAGAGTCTGTTCCAGGTGACCAGGGGAAATTCAGGAGTTTTAGTAGTAAGGAATAAGGGAAGAACTAATTTGGGGGACAACTTGTCTCTGCCATGAGCTTAGCTCAGACAAAGAGAAGCACAAAAGGGTCTATGGAAACAAGAATGAAGAAAGCATCCTTAGGACACCATCTACAGGGAATGAACTAGACCATTTCCGAGCCAGAACACAGACACAGTTTGGGGATGGGGGGAGGTAGATACAGAAGAAGGAGGTTACTCTCTGGGACTGATCCGTGGGGCAAAGGCATTGATCCCACTCCACAGAGAGGGCACTTGTCTGCCTAGTATCTGTCCTGCAGAAGTGGAGAGTGGGTTCTTCTTCTTTTTCTTTTTTCTTTTTTTTTTTTAAAGATTTTATTGGGGAAATGGGGGAGGGGAACAGTGTTGGGAAATCAGAGAAGGGGAACAGACAAGTTGCTGTCCTTTTGTTCCTCAGTCTAGTTGTGCAGGACGTTGCTTCATTGGCCCATGTTGGTATTATCATTGTGCTCTTCTCAGGTGAGGCAGTCGCTCGCTGGCCATTGGACGGCTGCTCATGGTGGCTCACAGCAGCTCACGAAAGCGAACTCCAGCTGCCGACCAGCCCCACTGCAGCCTACACCGTTGCCAGCGACTCAAAGCAGCCCAGCTCCAGGTTGAGCTGCTGTTCACCATCTTAGCTGTAGAGGGCAGTGTCACTGGCCCTCATGTGGGATCCAAACCAGGGCCCTGCTGCTCAGAGCTGGCGTCCCAAGCCAACTCTTAACCAACGTGCCACTCAGCCAGCCTGAGAGTGGGTCTTGACCTTGGCTTACCCCCCCAGCTCACTTGTCCCCCTACTCACCTATCCTCCAGTTCACCTGTCCCCCAGCTCACCAGCCCCCAGCTTACCTGCCTCCCAGCTCACTTGCCTCCCAGCTCATTTGTCCTCAGCTCACCTGTCCCTCAGCTCATCTGTCCCCCAGCTCACCTGTCCCCTAGCTCACCTATTAGCTCACCTCCCCACCCTGTCCCTCTAGGGCCAGCTCCTCATGGACCCCATTAGCCTCCAGCTGGGTAACAAGAACCTGTGGGGTTTCCTCGTGAGGCTTCTCAGCAAAAACCCAGAATGGCTGAGAGCCAAGGTGAAGTTCTTCCTCCCCAACGTGGACCTGGGCTCCAGAGAGGCAGGCCTGGACCTCACAGAGAGGGTCATGGTACAACTCAGGGAACTGTACACCCAAGGTTCGGCCACCTGGCAGGAATTCATCCACTGTGTGTGCATGGAGCTGGACGTGCCGCTCGACCTGGAAGTGCTGCTGCTGAGTACCTGGGGCCATGGAGAAGGTAAGGGAGGGCATGAGAGGTGCAAAGTAGCCTGCTAGGCCCCATGATGTGAGGAGCCAGAGGCCCAGGAAAGGCCAGGACCCACCTAAGTCACACAGAGACAGTGTGGCCAAGCCAGGGACAAAATTCCATGTTTCTGGACACTCCCCAGAGCAAATTTCCTAATGGCACCAAATCACCTGGTGACTTGGAAGACTCTTTTCACCTTATATCACCCCAGTTGCCTAGAGAAGCAGGATGCATGGAGAGAAAGGACCAGGCAACTCCTTCCAGTCAGGAAATTCCAAATAGCCCATAATACCCAAGAGGTTTCTTCTTGCAACGTGGTCAGAAGTGGTCACAGGGAGAGCCCTCTGATCTCTACTAATGGACAGGCAGATTGAATCAGTTGGATTCAATGGGCATTTCTTGGGTACCTTGTGTTTACACAGCACCGTGGGGAGGCAGTGAGAACTCACTCAGCAACTCTACTACAGGCAACGTGCAGGAAATGCAGGGGGCATCACTGTGTGCACACGTGTGTATACACAGGTGCATGCATGTGCACAAACCACACACATGTGTACATGTGCACGCATACATAAAAACACATGCACACACACACACCCATACCTGTACATGCACAAACCTACAGGTCTGCCTCCAGCGACCTTCAAGGCTCACCACCAGTTGTGCCCTCCACAGATCGCTGAGTGTAAACTTGATTTCTCCCTTGCTGGGGACCCACCCTGAGGGATGAGCCCTGAGTCACATCAGGCCAGAGCTGGTCCCAGGAAATCCTGCCACTCTCCCATAGCGTATTATGCTCTCCCCTCTCTTTCAGGGCCTCCCAGTCATCTGGAAGCTGGTGAAGAAAGCCAACTTGAATCTCAGCTCCAACATGGTGAGGCCTGAGGCTGGGGAGCAGGAGGCGGGTGGTGGGCACGCCAAGTCCCCACGTCAAACCCAGAGGAAGCTGATGATGGCTGGTCACAGCCGTTTCCCATAAGCTCTCCTCTTCATCCCCCGACCCATTTGCACATGTCCCCTGCCCCTCACCACAGCTCCCAGCTCCCACTCTGTGCCCTGCAAGGCTTTGACCTGTCCCAGGGGTCTAACCTGGTGTGTCCTGGGAGAGTCCAAATTGTCAGCCCTTGACACTGCCAAAATCCTTTAACTAGTTCTCACTTCCCTGTCCCCAGGCCTCAGGGCCTCATGCTCCAGCCGTACAGACTCAGGCCCCTCACCATTTGGACACCTCGGGCCTGACACTGGTCCATGGACTGCTGTCCACACCCAGGGAGCCTCTGATTGTTTTTCTGATGGAGCACAGAGGGGTCAACGATCAAATGGTGACCACCTCACCAATTCATGGGCCACACTATTCTCAGAAACTTTTTTTTTTATTGTGGTAAAATACACATAACATAAAATTTACCATCTTCACCTTTTTTCCCCCATCTTAACTATTTTTAAGCGTACAGTTCAGTAGTAGTAAATATACCCACATTGTACAATTGTCCCTACCATCCATCTCCATGACTCTTTTCATCTTGTAAAACTGAAAGCTCTATACCCATTAAATAATAACTTTCCATTTACTCCTCCCCCTGGTAACCATCATGTTACTTTCTGTTTTTATGATTTTTGACTACTCTAAGTTCCTTATATAAGTGGTATCATTTTGTGACTGGGTTGTTTCACTTAGTATAATGTCCTCAAGGCTCACCCTCATTGTAGCGTGTCAGAATTTTCTTCCTTTTTAAAGCTGAATATTATTCCAATGTATGTATATACCACATTTTGCTTATTCATTTATCCATCGATAGACACTTGGGTTGCTTCCACATTTACCTATTGTGAATAATGCTGCTGTGAACATGGGTGAACAAATATCTCTTCAAGACCCTACTTTCAATTCTTTTGAGTGTCTATCCAGAATTCAGAGTCTTAAGGTAGTTCCATTTTTACTTTTTTGAAGCATACTTTTTTCCATAGTAGCTGCACCATTTTACATTCCTACCAACAATACACAAGGTTCCAATTTCTCCACATCCTTGCCAACACTTAACTATTTTCTGGTTTTTGTTTTGTTTTGTTTTGGTTTGTTTTTAGTCGGCATACTAATGGGTAGGAGGTGGTATCTCATTGTAGTTTTGATTTAGATTTCCCTCATAATTGGTGATGTTGAGCATCTTTTCATATGCTTATTGGCCATTTGTATATCTTCTTTGGAGAAATGTCTGTTCAAATCCTCGGCCCGTTTTTAAATCAGCTTGTTTTTTCTGTTGTTGAGTTTTAGGAGTTCTCTATCTCTTCTGTATGTTAATCCCTTATATATACGTTTTGCAAATATTTTCTCTTATTCTGTGGGTTGACTTTTTACCCTGTCAATAGTGTCTTTTGAGGCACAAAACTTTTAAATTTTCATGAAGTCCAATTTGCCTATTTTCCTTTTGTTACCTGTGTCTTTATTGTCCTAACCCAAGAACTCATTGCCAAATCCAATGTAGCAAAGTTTTTGTCCTAAGACAAAAACTGTTGTCTTCTAAGAATTTTATTGTTTTAGGTCTTACATTAAGATCTTTGGTTCATTTTGAATTACTTTTTGTGGATGCTATTAGGTAAGGATTCGGTGTCATTCTTTTGCAGGTGGATACCAGTTTTCCCAGCACCATTTGTTGAAAAGACTGTCCTTTCCTCACTGAATGGTCTTGACACCCTTGTCAAAAATTATTTACATGCAGAGGCTTATTTCTGGGCTCTCTAGTATTTTCCATTGGTCTATATAACTGTCTTTATGCCAATACACACTGTTTTGATTACTCTAACTTTGTAGTAAGTTTTGAAATCAGAAAGTGTGAGTCCTCTAGTTTTATTCTTCTTTTTCAAGAGTGTTTTGGCTATTTGAGGTAGCTTGAGATTCTATGTGAATTTTAGGATGGGTTTTCTATTTGTGCTAAAAAAAAAAAAAAGCCCGTGGGATTCTGATAAGGATTATATCTGCAGGGAACCTGTAGATCACTTTGGGTGATATTGACATTTTAACAATATTAAGTCTTCTAATCCATGAAAATGGGATGTGTTTCTATTTATTTATGTCTTCTTTAATTTCTTTCATCAATATTTTGTAGTTTTCGTTGTACAGATTTTTCACCTCTTTGGTTAAGTTAATTCCTAAGTATTTTATTGTTATCAATGCTATTATAAATGGAATTGTTTTTGTAATTTCCTTTTCAGATTGTTTATTGTTCGTGCATAGAAATGCAACTAACTGATTTTTGCATGTTAAGGTTGTATCCTGCTACTTTGCTGAATTCATTTATTAGTTCTAAAAAGCCTTTTTGTGAAGTCTTTAGGGTTTTCTAAATATAAGACCCTATCATCTGCAAACAGAGACAATTTTACTTCTCCCTTTCCAATTTGGGTGCCTTTTATTATTTTTCTTGACTAATTGCTCTGGCTAGAGCTTCCAGTACTGTGGTGAAAGCAGGCATCCTTGCCTTGTTCCTTATCTTAATGGAAAAGCTTACAGTCTTTGACAATATAGTATGATGTTCACAATGGATTCAGAATCATTATTTCTATAGATGTATGGACGTTTTTCTTTTAGGTGTACATGGCAGTAACATCAGGCTTTCACAGAAAACATCTACCCCATAATCCCAACAAATCAAAACTCTGTCCTAGTCCCTGGTCTCTTCTGGCCCTTATCACTGAGCTGTCTTCACTCAGCCCCTGAGTGGGGATACACTTGTCTGCCTGCTGCCCGTTTGTGGATTGGAGCTCCCTAAAGGTGCTGGGTACATCCTCGGCCTCCAAACCTCACCCCTTACGTTTTTCTTCATTCTTTCCAGGCCTCAAGCGGCCTCATCAGAGTTATGGGTCCTCACCCCGGCCGAAGCAGGGCAGGAAGCAGCAGCTAGGTGAGTACCAAGGTAGGAAGGAACTCAAACACAGGGATTGGAATGCCTTGGGGCCAGGATACAGTTCCTGGACTCTGTCCCCTGCTGACGAGCCTCCATGGGCCTAGTGACTCTTGTATTCCAAGCTTCCATGAACGAAGGATTGGAAGTCCTGAGTGGGCAGAGGAGAGAGCTGAGCCTGGCAAAGACAGGCCTCACTAACAGGCCACAAAAGGGCTTTTCCAGAGATGGCTCAGCTGTAAAAGCTAAAAGTATCCCAGTAAGTTGTTGCTTCATCATCCAGCCTGTTACAGCGACACCCCATGTCCTGAGGGCTCAGGAGGCCCCAGAGAGGTGACCAGCATTACCTCAGGCCTAGGACCTCATTGGCCAGTTTAAGGGTGAGCCGCACACCAGGGAGATGCTCTCCCCCGCCGCCCCACCCCAGCCAAGGCAGAAGCCTTTAGGGGCCCATGGGGAGACACAGGAGCTACTGACCAGCCAGGCCAAGGGGAGTAAAGGAAACAGCACTCGCTTCTCTACCAGTTGTCCAGAAGAGTCCTTGCTCTCAACCAGTTGTCGTGACCCCCATGGCCATAGCCAGAGGATTCACAGGTAGTCAAAGGATTCACATTGATATAATATATACCTCTACCTCCAGCCCCCAGTGAGGACTCCCAGTGTCCCCCAACAGTGGCCCCAGTCCTTTCCCTGGGCCACCCAAGATCTCCCAATGATCCAGCAGTTAAAATGTCAGGACCTGGCACAGTAGGAGCCCAACGCCCAGAGTTCTGCTTAGTCCATGTCTGGGCCTATAGGTTGTCGGCGCTCTGGGCGCTGCAGAACTGAAATACTGGGAAGGGGCACAGCTTACTCAGGTATCACAGTAAGAGATTGTTCCCATAAGATCTTGCCAAGGAAGTACTCTTTTTCCCCTCCCTCGTCTTATTGAAAACTTTACACCACCTGTAAAGCAGAGCCATGGTCCACACTTCCGCATTCAGGCTGCCCTGTTTGAATGGCTGCCAGAGCCTTTGCTTCTGTAGAACCAATTCCTTCTAGGCGCCAAAGCCCCTGTGTGGTCTTGCCACTCCCTCATCATATATCCACACCTGAGGCTGCAGGATCCCCACAGCCAGTACGGGGGTGAGGGAATCTGGGGGCGGGGAGGCCGCGTGCCCTCATGCCATCTCCCTACCCCCTGCAGAGTTGGCCAAGAGATACCTGCAGCTTCTGAGGACTTCTGCCCAGCAGCGCTATGGCGACAAGCCTTCCGGGCCAGGGCAGCCCCTCGCCTTGCGCCAGGCCTACATCCCCACAATCTTGCAGTGGGGCCGAGCCACAGCACCCTTTGACACTCAGGAGGGGGCCATTATGGGGGGCTCCAAGGCGGAAGATGGCGCTGACATGAGTATCCGGGACCTCTTCAACACTAGAGCTGACAAGGGCCCACGGGTGATGGTGATCTTGGGGAAGGCCGGCATGGGCAAGACCACGCTGGCCCACCGGCTCTGCCAGAAGTGGGCGGATGGCCAGCTAGACCGCTTCCAGGCCCTGTTCCTTTTTGAATTCCGCCACCTCAACCTGATTACAGGTTCCTTGACGCTGCCCCAGCTGCTTTTTGATGTGTATTTGAGCCCCGAGGCGGGCCCCAATGCTGTCTTCCAGTACCTGAAAGAGAACGCTAATGGCGTCCTGCTCATCTTCGATGGGCTGGAGGAGGCCCTCCACCCCTGTTCCAGCAAGGAGACTGTAGGTCCTGAGGCCCCAGGCCCAGGCCTCGCCCTCTTCTCCGGCCTCTGCCGTGGGACCCTCCTGCCCGGCTGCTGGGTCATGGTCACCTCCCGTCCAGGGAAGCTGCCAGCTTGTCTGCCCACAGAGGCAGCCACAGTCCACATGTGGGGCTTTGATGGGCCACGGGTGGAGAAGTACATGGGCTGCTTCTTCAGTGATCAGCAGTCCCAGGAGGCAGCCCTAGCAGAGTTGCGAGCAAACGGACATCTCCGGAGCATGTGTGCGGTGCCTGCCCTGTGCCGAGTCGCCTGCCTCTGCCTTCACCATCTGCTCCCAGGCAGCTCTCCAGGCCAGCCCTCAGCCCTCTTGCACACTGTGACTCAGAACTACATGCAGATGGTGCTCGCCCTCAGCCCCCATGGGTGCCTGGATACTGAGTCCCTGCTGGGCCTTGGTGAGATGGCCCTGAGGGGCCTGGAGACCGGGAAGGTTATCTTCTCTACAGAAGACATTGCTTCATCCATGATTTCCTTCGGGACTTCCCTCGGCCTACTGACCTCCTTCTGCATCTGCACAGGCCACGGACACCAGGAGGAAGGCTATGCCTTCACCCACCTCACCCTGCAGGAGTTTTTTGCTGCCCTGCACCTGATGGCCAGCCCCGAGGTGGACAAAGACACACTCACCCGTTATGTCACCCTCAATTCTCGCTGGCTGCTGCGGACCAAAGCTAGACTGGGCCTCTTAGATCACCTCCCCACCTTCCTGGCGGGTCTGGCATCCTGTGCCTGCCATCCCTTCCTCAGCCACCTGACACAGCAGGATCAAAAGTGGGTGGGTGACAAGCAGGCTGCAGTCATTCAGGCATTAAGGAAGTTGGCCACTCGCAGGCACACGGGACCAAAGGTTGTAGAGCTGTGTCACTGTGTGGGTGAGACACAGGAGCCTGAGCTGGCTGGTCTCGTGGCCCGAAGCCTCCCCTGTGAACTGCCCTTCCACAATTTCCTATTGACCTACGCTGACCTGGCTGCCCTGACCAACATCCTGGGGCACAGGAATACCCCTATCCACCTGGATTTTGAGGGCTGCCCTCTGGAGCCCCGCTGCCCTGAGGCCCTGGCAGGCTGTGGGCAGGTGGAGAATCTCAGGTGAGAGGAAGGGCAGGGCAGGACTGGGGAGGACCAGGGAGAGAACTGGGCTCTTGGGAGAGTAGAAACCAACCAGCCTGGCAGACTCCTGCTGAGGAAGACTGGGTAAGAAATATCAGAACAGATAGGCCCTTTCAGCACCTTAGTCTGTGACACAGTGAGGAGGCTCCACGCCTCACCAGGACCTCTGGAGTCCAGTCGGATCTCTTCTTGTCATGGTTTCCAGACCCTCGTTCTCTCTCTCAGTCATGGTCTGGAGCCCCCGATCCAGGCTGTGCTGCTAGAGGCTCTTTAACTTTGGGCAGGTTATCTAACCTCTCAGCCTGAGTTTCTTCATCCCTAAAATGAATCAATAATAATAATACCTACTTCATAGGGTTGTTACAAGAGTGAGATGAGATAATTCCTAAAAAAAACACCACTTCTTAGCACAGTTCTCGGCACACAGTAAAGGTTCAATATGTGTAGTAGCTAGAGAAAAGGCTAGGCTTCAGTAACAAAGAACCCCTCACACCCTCGAAAATATAGTGGATTAAATAATGTATCATTTTATTGCACTCATGGAAGACTCCACGAGGTCATGCACGTCCCTTCCATTGTTGCTCTGTCATCTACTTGGGCATCTTGATCTGCATGGTCAAAGTTGGTTCATGGGCATGTCTGTGATCTGGCTTGGGGGAAGGGAAAAAGAGACCATGGATTAGACACACCAAATGTGTTAAAGCTCAGTCCTAGAAATAGGGCACATCCTTCCACTTACATTCAAGTGGTGAGAACATAGTCATATAGCCACACTGAGCTGCAAGGGAGGCTGGGAAGTGCCATCTCTCACTGGGAAACCATGTTTCCAGTTATATATAGATGTATAAGTGGAGAATGGGTTTTAGTGGACACTTAGCAGTCGCTGCCATAATATGTATGTGTTACTTCTACAACTGTTACTAATACTATTAACATTGCTGTAGTCAATTCCATCTGTCAGGGGAGGGGTGGGTCATGACCTCTAAGCCCTGTCCAGCATTGATCCTCTGCCATCTTGCCTCTCCCTGTGGCAGCTTTAAGAGCAGGAAGTGTGGGGATGCCTTTGCAGAAGCCCTCTCCAGGAGCTTGCCGACAATGGGGAGCCTGAAGAAGCTGGGGTGAGCCAGGGCTTGGAACTGAGGGGGAGCCTCAGCTGGGGATACCTGGAACTCTCCTCCCTTTTCTCAACCCTACACAGGGCAGATTCCAGGCCTACCCCCCTGCCCATCTCCATTTCTTCCTACCATCCTTTCTTACCCTACAGGTTAGCAGGAAGTAAGATCACTGCTCGAGGCATCAACCACCTGGTGCAGGCTTTGCCCCTCTGTCCACACCTGGAAGAGGTCAGGTGAGTGATCTCCAGAAGGCTCACTGGCTAGGGGAAGGTGTCACTGCACAGGTCTTCCATGTTCTATCTGACTAGTAGGTTTTCAATGAGACTCAGCGGGGCGGCACCAGTCCATGAGCTGGGTGGGGCTGGATCCAAACACAAGGTTCCCAAAGGCCCCAGAGCAGTGCTTCTTTCAACTAATACTCTTGAAGAAGCTTGAGTTTTGAGGTCCCCTTCCCTCTTTCTGGGACCCTGAGAAAAAAGATGGCAGTATATAGGCAGGTGGTGGGCACTGTGGGTACACATAAATGCACGAAGCACACACATACCTTCATATTCGTGCACATACGTGCACTTGTCTGCTCACCTAAGTATATGTCTCACATACATGCACACTCATAGGTGTGAACATGTGCAGGACACATGCATGCACACTCAGATCCACATGTACATCTGAGCACATATGCACAACTATGCCTCTGCCCTGTGTCTGATGAGTGGCCTAAGAAGGGTGAGACCAGGGTGCCTCCTGAGTAGCTCACTGGCAGAGCCACTGCTGGCTGGCACCTTTGTGAGATTTAGGAAAGGCACCCCGTCATCCAGGCAGATGCAGCCCAGAACTAGAGTGCACCGCTTGCTGAGTGGAGCATTAGCTGGACCACAGCTCTGCTCTGTCCTTCTGCCCAGTGTCCTTGTGTGTGACCACTCTAGGTCATGGAAGAAAAGATTAAGGCCACTCTTCAATAATCAGGAAAGAAACATAAATGTCAAGAAGTTCAATATTTCCTAACTTTTTCCTGACCAGAGTGATCACATGCAAAGCACCCTCGCACTCTTCAGGACTTCTGTCCCTCCAGCTAGGAACCCAGGCAGGGCTGGGTTGTGGACTCCATTGGACAGATGGGGAATGTGAGATCAGAAAGGAAGGTGCCTGGCCTAGGGCCCTGGGTGAGTCAGGAAGCAGCATCTCCAGCATCCCGGTCTAGACTGCTCATCACCTGGGAGCCAAAAGGCCTTGATCAACTTGGGCCTCAGGCACATTGCCCTGAGAGCAGGGTACTGGGGCTCCTCGTCCCACCTCATGAGACATTCATAGACCACCATCTGGATCCTTTGGGCCACCCGCAGGAACTCCCCCATAGCGACTAAATAGGAACAGAAATGAAGCCAACAAAGGGTCTTTTCTCCTAGCTGGGCCTGTTGGATACCATAGAGCAGGTCACCAACTCCTTCTGGGCCCCTGTCTTGTGTCTCCTACATGAGGGTGGCCATGCCTGTCACCTACCAACTGGGGTTTCTAAGGGGCCCCACCCCAGGGCTAAGGGATTGGGCTTTGGTCTCCCTGCAGCTTTCAGGACAACCAGCTCAAGGACCAGGAAGTGCTGAACATCGTGGAGGTCCTTCCTTGCCTGCCGCGGCTCCGGAAGCTTGAGTAAGCTGTCTTTTCACCACCCCTGCCTGAGCCACCCTCCTCCCTTGGAGAGCAAAGTTCTGGGGCCCATGGGATAGGGGACTCACTCCTGACACCTATGCCACAATCACGCAGCCTGAGCCGCAACAACGTCTCCATGTTGACCCTACTCTGCTTGACAAAGGTGGCAGTCACCTGTCCTACCGTCAGGATGCTGCAAGTCAGGTGAGCAGGAGTGGGAGCCTGGTCTTCAGGGTCTTGAGAAAAGAAGAGAGGATGGGAAAAGGAGGAAAACTGTCGTCTGCATCATGTATATGCCTGAGTCCATTTTACTCAAATCGATATGTCCAGAGAGAGCCTAGCTCACGCCTGGCACCTGGTCTCAATAAGTCGTGGGTGGGTGGGTGGATGGATGGATGGATGGATGGGTGGATGGATGGATGGATGGATGGATGGATGGATGGAAGACGGACGGACGGACGGACTGACAGACGATGAAGGAATGAATCAACAGATCTAAGAAGCACAGGTATCGCTGCAGGATTTAGCCGTTTGTCGCTCTCCGTGGTGCTGAAGTAGCGTTGCCTGTTTGGATCACAGGGAAGGTTAAGTGCCATGCGTATTAATCCTAAAACACAGTAACTCCTATAAAATCTCTCAGCGTTCCTAATTTTTATTACCTTTCTTGTAAAAGTTGTTTTCCTGACTTTTTGGAAACACTCAGGATTCATCAAATAATGACATGGTCACAATTTTGCATGTCTGATCTGGAGCACTTTTGCCAGTTCTGTTGTTCCTCTCAATCACAAAATCAGCTTTCTCTGGCTGTTTGGGGCAGCAAGGGGTGCGCAGGTAGGGAGTGACAGGTTGGATTCCAGTCCACGGGTTTCATGGCTCTGTGTCTGACCCTGCAGGAAGGCGGACCTCATCTTCCTTCTCTCCCCGCCCACGGAGACAGCTGCAGAGCTACGAGGGTAAGAAGTTAGGGAGGGGGTGGGTCTGGGCTCATCCTGAGATGTGATCTGGGCTCAGGCAGTTGTGGGGAAAAGGTGGCCAAGGGAACTTAGGAAGAGCTGGAATGTGGGGATTCTCCTGGCTGCTGCCCTGAGAAATGACTTGCTTCTCAGAGTTGGCAAAAGCCTTTGGCTTCCTCTGTCTCTGGGCCACATCTGGCTCCTTGGTGAGGGAGGTCTCAAACTGAGTCAGATCCTTAGGGAGGACATGAAGATACTGTTAGATTGGCGTTTCTATGCAAGGAAAACTCTTCTAACTGGAAAAAAAAGGAAGGCAATTATAGTACCTATATCTTAGAGTTGTTCTGAGAATTAAATGAATTAATATATTTAAAGTGCTTAGAACACCGCTGGCATTCACTTGGCACTTGACTGCTGGCTATTCCAGCTGTGCATGAATTCCAGCTTGGCCAGTCCTGGATGGGCAAAGAAAGGGAAGCTGCCTTCCCGTGAAAGAACATTCCAATTGTGCTTCCCCACACACCCACCCTCTCAGCTGAGACTCAGAGACAGATGAAGGTGTACGTCCTTGAGCAAGTCCTTTCCCTGCTCTGAGCCTCAATGTTTTCACCCATACAACGATTCAGTAGGACCACTGTTCTGTTTCCCTCTGACTGCTTAGAGCTGTGGTGCCCAATATAATAGCCACTAGCCACACTTGGCCATTTAAATTTAATTAAAATTAAGTAAAAAGGACATTTCAGTTCATTGGTCACATTAGCCACATTTCAGGTAATCAATAGCCATGAGAGTTTAGTGGCTCCCAAAGTGGATGGCACAGATACAAAACATTTCCATTGTCACAGAAAGTCCTGTTAGACAGCACTGATCTTGCAGTCTGTGAAAACCTAGCTCATGATGCCCCACCTTCTCTGCAGTCCCTAGCCATCTTCTGGCCCAGTGGAAGGGAGCCTAGAGGTGTCCTGGTTTCCCACAGCCTGAACCCACATACAGTCCATGCCCCTGGCTTTCTGAACCATAGATAGCACATCTACAAATGGACACTGTCGCAGCGTAGATAATAACTGTTTCTTTTTACTAAGCTTCAATTTTGTGCCTGTGGTGGGCCCTTGATCATATGTCATCTTATTCAATCCTATCTTAACTCTGTGTGTTAGATATTATCATTCCATTTTAGAAAAGAGAAAATAGAGGCTCAGAGGGGTGGAGTGACTTGCCCAAGGCCACACAGCTACATACGGCAGAGCCAGAATTTGAATAAATATTCCACTTGACCTCAAACCTTTTGCTCCTGCTACTTTGCTGAATAGTGCCTTCAGCACTTTCAACTAACCATCTTTGTCACTTATGCACTGTGGGTCAGGCTAAAGAACCTTCAGCCCCTAGAACCCAAGAGAAGAGCCTGGATTTCTGAGCCCAGACCAACGCTGCATTTGTTCTTGCCAGAGCCCCAGACCCACAGGGAAGTGCCAGCCAGAGGGAAGAGGCTCAGAGCAGAAGCCTGACACTCAGGTACCTCAGTGGGATCCATTGCCTTAAGGGGAGGGGTATGATATAGGGGGAGGTAGAGCAGGGGCAGGGAGGATCAAGGGAAAAGCTGATGTGGGGCAGAGAAAGGACATGGATAAGCCAGCCTGGCCTGAACAAGGAATGTCGGGCATAATAGCAACAATAATAGCTATAATGTAATGGGTTCTTGCTGTGGGTTGGGCACTATGGTATTTTCTATCTATTACCTCATTGTAATTCTCTTGAAAACCCTGCAAAGTACACAATATTATTCCCACTTGACAGAGGAGGAAACTGAGTCTCAGATAGATTAAATGCCTTGTCCAAGATCGCCCTGCTACTGAGAAGCAGGGACAGGATTAGACCCCAGGTCTGCTGGCCTTCTGGCTCCCCCAGCTCCCACGCCTAGCAGCAGGGCTGGGACCTAGAGGAAGCATAGTGTAGCTCCTTGCCCTGAGCCCCTCTAACTCCCACCTCAGGCTGCAGAAGTGTCACCTCACAGTCAGTGATGTGGAGATGCTCATAGCCCAGCTCCGGGAAGGCCCCCGCCTGGACGAAGTAGAGTGAGTAGAGTGGGAAGCCCTGGGGCAGGAGAGTGGGGAGGGCAGGACAGTGTGGGGAGGGCCTCAGCTTTGGGTGGGTGCTGTGGGGAAGGGCAGGCTGCCTGACTAAGAGTTAGGGGGAATCAGATTATTGGAACAGCGACCACTATTTAGCACTGCCCTGTACCAGGTGCATTAACATGTAGCCTCTCATTTAATCCTCGCATCTCTATCACGTAAGTACTGTTGCTATGCACATTTTATAGAGGAGGAAATTAAGCCACAGAAAGATAAGTTTGCTCAAGGTTAGGGTTAGTCCAGGCTAGGGTCCAAGTCAAACAGCCTGACTCCCAGCCTTATCTTTGTAACCACTGTCATTGAGATCTTCAAAGCAGAAACGTCATTACACCTAGGTCTGTCTTCCAAACCACAGCCCTCGGGGTCCCCTCACCCTGTCCTTCTCCCAGAGAACAGTGAGATGACCCTCTCTTTTCTGGCTGCAGAAATCCCCATGGTGTCCAGCTCCTGGGCGGAGACTTTGAGAGTAGGGCTTGGGGATTGGTGGAGGTCCTGTTTTATTGCCAAGAGGGACCTCTGCCAGGACCATCCCAGGAAATCAAATGGGTGTGAAGGTGGAATGACAGAATGTGTTTTGAAGTGAGTGGCCCCACCCCAAGGTGAGATGGATGGGGTGAGGGCTGCTTTGGTGACCAAACCATGAGCCTTGACCTGTTCCATTGGGAGAACCAAGACGAGATTAGAAAAGGTAGATGTTACCAAGCTCACATACTTCCACCCACCTGGCCACCACTGAGCCTGCCCCCCTTTCAGTACCCTCACCTGCAGCAAGGGCCTCAATACCCATCTGGTTACACAGACCAGACACCTCTCAGCTCCCTTGCCCTCCCCGCTTAGCCAGTCCATCCTGAGTCAGCCTACCCCCTGCAGAGCTCTCAAAACCATCCTCTTTTCGTCCACTTTCCTAGCCTAAACCACTCGCATTTCTTACCCAGGATGACCCGTCAGCCATCTCACTGGGTCCCCTGCTTCCACCCTGACCACCTCCACCTGGCAGAGAGGGAACTGCGTTTCTCTCCTGCCAGCCCCCTTCACTCCTTCCCACTGCTCAGAATAAAGCCCAAATCCTCAAATTCCGTGTGATGCAGAACCCTGGTCCAACCCCCAGGCCCCATCTGACCCTGCCCTCTCCTCACTCAGTGTTAGACTCCGAGATCCTGGCTCCCTCTCAGGTCTTCAAATGTGCTATGCCACAGAGCCTCTGAATGTGCTGTTCCTACAATCCCATCTCCCTCCCACCCCTTACCTTCTGAACTCCTAGTTTTTCTAGCAAGTAGCTCAAACATCAGGGAAGACTTCCCTGATCCCCAGTCTATATCAGATGCCCCTATCATCATGGAGTTTATCAATTATGTAGGTTGCAACATAAAGAAACATTTGAGGGCAGGGCCTTAAAGTCAGGCTGTCTGTGTTCAAATCCCAGGTCCACCTTTGAGCAAGTTCCCTACCCCAGTCTACTCATTAGTAGGACAAGGATAACAATAGTGCCTACTTCATAGGGTTTTTATCAGGATTAAACATCCAGTAACTGTAATAACACCTGGGACAGTGCCAGGTACATGGTACGCAGTCTTTCAACGTTCATTATGATTAAGATTCACTTATTGGAGTGATGCTTTGACTAAAGTCAGTGAGTGCTGAGGGTTGGGGTGGGTGAGTGCTGAGGGTTGGGGGGGGGACCCCACCCAGCAGCACAGGGCATTGGGCCCCTCTGTCTCAGCCTCTCAGGAAACGAGCTGGAAGATGAAGGCTGTCGCCTGATGGCAGAGGCTGCACCCCAGCTGCACATCACCAGCAAGCTGGAGTAAGTTGCCCACCCCACTGTTCGGTAAAAGGGAGGGCGCTGGAGAGCCCCAGCTGGTCCCTGCCACGCCTGATCCCCATGCCCGCAGTCACTGGAAATAACGCCGCTCTGCCACCACCCTGCCTTCTCCCAACTCCGGTGAAGTTGGGGTGGCTCAGCCACGCCTTGCCTTTGCCTCTGGCATGAACCCCTTAGTCCCAGCTATGAAAACCCCTTGCACATGTAGAATGCGTCCCTTATACATCAGTGGGCTGTGTACCAGTGTGTCCTTACCACAGCCCCGGGTGGAGTGGGGTGAGGTGGGGGTGGAGTGTTGATTGAGGCGGCATTGGGGTATTGGATGGATGGGTCAGCTGGGGTGTTGCATTGGGATGTTGGGGTGCAAAGTGGTGTGTTAGGGTGGGATACCATGTTGGGGTGAAGGGGTGGGTTGTTGGGTGTGCTACACTGTTGCATGGTGTGGCGTGGGGGTGATGTTGGGTGGGGTGTGTTGGGGTCTTAGCATCAAGTGTGGGTTGGGGTGGGGGAGTGTTGACATTGGGTAACAGTGATTGGAGCCTTGGCTTTGTATTTAAATCCTGGCTCTGTCGTTTAGTAGCTTTGTGATCCTGGGAAAGTAATTTAACATCTCTGAGCCTCAGTTTCCCCATTTGTTAAATGCAATTAAAATGGTGCTTATTTTATATACCAGGAAACCGAGGTTCAGAGAGGTGAAAACAGTGAGTTGGCCCTTATCACTCCAGCTGGAGAACTTTACTCTCTGAGTGAGGCAAGGGGATCATATGTCTCTTGATTTACCACATGGGTCAGAACCCTTTGAGACTCCCCCCCGGTTAAGGATCCAGGACATCCCAACAGTGACAGCTAGCAAGCTGCTGAGCCAGAAAGAGGGGCTTGGAGCTGTCTTGGGCTGGGGATTTCAGCTGCCTGCTGATGGTGGCCTCTCTCCTCCTCTCCACAGCCTCAGCGACAACAAGCTCTCGGTGGCTGGGATGCACAGTGTGCTGAGTGCCGTGAGCACGTGCCGGACCCTGGCAGACCTGCACATCAGGTGAGAGCTCCCAGTGGACCACCGTCACCCATGCCCACCCTCAGCCCAGGGCTCCCGGGCTCTCCCATTATTCTCTCTAAGTCCTGGGAATTCTCTTTGGCCCCAGGCCTTTGGGACCTGTAGGTGCTGCTGGTGCCCCACCCAGACCCCCTTTGCAGCTGGAGCACCTATTCCCAGCTGCTGCGGGTGTTGAGCACTCACAGCTTATACCTCCTCTGGAGAACTGCCCTGGCCTGATAACTGATATGTTACACTCCTCCCCAGCCCCCCGCTCCCCCACCCCCGGCAACTAGGACTGGCCAGTGACAGAAGCAGAGGTATAACTGTCTAGCCCCCTTGCCTCAGATGGGAGAAGCTTTTGGTGCCATTCACGCCCCCGTGGGATCAGGCTGAGGACCTGCCCTATTCTGTTTCCCTCAGTCCCTTACTGGTTTCTCCTGAGAGAGGGCCCTCAGTACATCCCATGCACAAGTGACCAACTGACCCGTGAGCCCCTACCCCATTCATAGGCTGAAGCTCTTCTTCTGGGGAACCCAGCCTAAGACAGGGCCCAGCTTATCTCTATAAGTCTCAGCATTCAGTCTGGGGAGCTGAGGACAGGTGCTAATTAATGTCAACACTGTCCCCACCCAGAGGGACTCTCAACTGTATAAGGTGGCCCCTGCTTTAAACACCCCTCAAAGGAGGAGACAGAGCCCAGAGTTACCCAAAAGGTGGATTAGAAGACCTTGGTTCACTGTCTATAATGACTCAATAAAGGGCCCCTAAGGAGTTCCAAATGACATTCCATTCACTTCTAAGAATTTATACTAAAGAAATCATGATTCTTCAAACACGTTTAGCGGCAGAGGTGTTCATCTCAGTATTGGTTGTAATAGGAAACAATGGAAATAACTTAATGTTTAACAATAGGATATTAGTTAAATAAACGAGGTTGCCTCAGAGAGAGCTCAATGGAACCCTGATTTGGCTGCAGCTTTAGGATGGAGGGGTGACTGTGATATATGAAGTAACATAAAAATTTTAATTCATCGTTTTTATAATAAAGCTTTCAACCATACTCAAAGGTAGGGAGAATGGTATAATGAACACCCAGTTCCCACCAATAATTATCAACATTTTGTCACCCTTGCTTCATCTGTCCCTTGAAAACCTAATTCATCAAAAAGAATTTGTAATTTTAATCCCATTTTTAGAGAAAATAACAAAAACAAAAAAAACATTCACAAAAGACTTGAAGGATCCTCTCCAAAATGTTATCAGTGGCAACTGATATGTGGAAGAGCTTGCGGTGATTTTTCTTTATTTTCTTTTTACTAGAATATATTATATTTTCTGAGTTCTCCACAGGGATGAAGTATGTCTTTTTAATGAGAAAAACACATGTAACATTCAGTTTGCAGGGGCGAGGTTAGAGATGCCCCAGCGGTAAGTTATAGCTTCATGTGGACTCTCAGTGTCTGACCTCTCCCTGCTGGGGCCAGTCCCCTCAGCCAAGGGGCCACCTGAAAGCAGGGGAGGAAGGGTTCAGCCTGAGGCCCGCACCAGAGACACAGCAGAACTCTCTCTCAAGGACTTGCCAGGAAATGAGAGCTGATAAGCTTGTGAAATCTCTGTGGTAGAAAGACCTCAGGCCTCGAAAGCTCGGAGGACAGTCAGAGGAAGTGACTACAGCAGGGGGATGCCACCTTCAATTTCCCTCCAGGCCAGGCTGAAAAAAGGATATGGAGCGGCAGGGACCCCATAAGCCTCTTAACTCCTCCCTGTCTTCTCTCCACAGCCTCATGCACAAAACTGTGGTCTTCACTTTTGTCCCAAAGATGGAGGAGCAGGAAGGGAACCAGGAGAGGTAGGACCCCAACACCACTCCAGTCCCACCCTTGGCCAGGGCCATCTCCTCCCTGACCTCCACAGCTGGACAGTACCACTCAGCTGCCAGGGACCTTAACAAATTCACGAAGGCTCAGGAAGCCAGCAGGCTTGGCAGCGGATGCAGCCCTAAAGGGGAAGGTCAAAGTACAGCTGCCTTCCCATATCTCAAGTGGTGCCTGAAGAGAGCCCTGTGATGCAGGATGGAGACTGCATGCTGGGTCAAAGTAGGGTAGCCAGAGACAACAAGGCCCTTCAGCCTAAACCCAGAGGACTGCCTGGACTGTAGCTCTGCTTTTGGTCAGAACTTCTGGCTCCTTTTGGCCTGAGGACCGTTTAGAGGGTGTTTGCCTCCTCCAGGGTGCCTTCCTGGATTGACATGGGCAGAGACTCTTTGCTCCTCAGTGTCCACCTGCAATGTCTTCTGTAGGGTCTGAGCTTTTGAGGGCTTGCTTGGAGCTGAGGCTGACATCTCTGAAGGCGCTGATGATGGTGATGATGAGATCAATGATAGAACAGCCAAGGTTAATTGAGCACTTACTATGATATCCACCAAGCACCAAACAAAGGCAATGCACACATATCCTCCCAGTAAAAGGCTTAGTGATTTTGTCCCAGGTCACGCAGCCAGGAAGCAGAGAAGCCAATTGCAATCAAGGTCTGGCTGTCTCTGGGCCCCGTATAGAGATTGAATGGTGGGAAGTGAGGTGAGGATGGACTTTGGAGACAGTGGATGAGGCACTTGCTCATCCTGGCCTTGGTGTGTGTCCCTCCAGGGTTCTGTTTCTCGACAGCCTTACGCCCTCTAAGCTGCCCCCGTGCTTCCCAAGGATCAGGTACAGTGATGACCTGCAGGTCTCGGGTGTGGTCCCCGCCCCCCCTTCCTCCACAAAGCCTCTCCCCAGGCCCCTAGCCCCAGGTGCTCCCTGGATGGCCCGACATGCTGTATCCAGGAGCTGTGGCCTGGCTTCCCTGCTCCCCACCTGCCGGCCCAGCCCCCTGCAGGTGAAGCTCATGTGGCAGCTCTCATAATCACCTTCCCCACCCAGGGGCCACCCTCCCCTTAGCTCCCCTGACTTCCAGCAGCTGAGAGGTGTGGGAACTCTGGACAGAAAGGATGGGGAACATGCAGCCCCTTCTTTCCTGAACCTGGGGCCTGGGCCTGGGGGCTCAGGTCAGCCCCCCAGGGCTCCCATCAATACCATTCCGGCCCTCTCTCTTATTCTCTGTCCATCTCAATCTCCCTGTCTGTCTCTCATTCTTTGATTCTCTCTTATTTTCTGTTTCTTTCGCTCATATTTTCTGTGGCCCTTTTCTCATTGTCTGTCTGTCCTCCTCTGGCACTATCTGTATGTGTGTGTGTGTGTGTGTGTGTGTGTGTGTGTGTGTGTGTGTGTGTGTGTGGTGGGGGTGTGGGTGTGTGTGTGTGTGTGTGTGTGTGTGTGTGTGGTGTCCCTTCTCTCTCTTATCTCTGTGTCTGTCAATCTTGGTCTCCCTCTCTGGGTCTCTGACTCTCTCTGGTTCTTCTCTGCCTGTGTGCAATGTTTTGTCTGTGTGTTGGTCCACCTTTGTCTGCTGGGTCCCAGATCCCTCTCCTGCAAGCTGGGTTCTCTGCCTGTGTGTCTGGGGGTGGCAGGCCACTCTGTCCTCTGTTCGGTGGGGCAGGACTGCAGGGCTGTGGTTCTGCCCTCCACAGGCTGACACACTGTGGCTTGCAAGCGGAACACCTAGAGCAGCTCTGCACGGCCCTGGGAGGAAACTGCCACCTCTGCCACCTTGAGTGAGTGAGCTGCTCTTGAAAGGCAGGTGGGTGGGACCAGTCGGTTACTGGGTGTTGGTGTGTTTGGGTTTTGTTTTGCTTTTTAAGTTTAGGTCATCAGTTCTTTCTTGCTGCAAACAGGAACCCTTTAGAAAATGTGGTGAAAGTTGTGCTTCTTCCCCCTAAAATACGTTTGACACCCTCTGAAGCCCATCCCTGACCCCCCTTGGGGGTCACAGATCTCAGGATAAGAACCCTGGGTGAGACCCCAGCTGATCGGCAGCTCAGGGTCATGTCCCAGTTTCAGGAGAAGCTGAGTAACTGAGGGAGGGGGCTGGAGACAAAGCGACTGGCCATCCCCACCCCCACCCTCCTCTAACCTGTTCTCCTCCTGCCCCTGCCAGCTTATCAGGCAATGCCCTGGGGGATGAAGGCGCAGCCCAGCTGGCTCAGCAGCTCCCTGGGCTGGGTGCTCTGCAGTCCTTGAAGTGAGTAGCTTGCTGGGCAAAGTCTCTAAGGCTTGTCCTCATCAGAATGAGGGGATGGGGGTGGGGGGCTGTTGTCAGTCGTCTCACTCCCTCCTGGGGTTCTCAGAAAGATTAAATCAGAAAGTGCATGTCAGTTGCCCAGTCCAGTCCCTGACACGTGGTAAGTGCTCATCAGTAAAGGGTATGATTCTCATTAAAAAAGAGACTGGCCTCGGTGACTCAGTGATCTAGCTTCTGATTTAAGGTTTCACTTCTCAAACCTATCTCTGGGAGTCCCAGGTTACCTGGAGTAAGACAGGCATGGTGGGAAGTATTACCCAATTAATGAAATGGCTGGCAGCCATTCTGGCCCTGGGGTGCAGGGGAGGGCTGTTTGATAGGAGGGTTTGTACCCCACAGGACACCCATGCAGGGTACTCAGGACATCTGGATGGCCCTGAGCACCTGGCAGAGAGGGGAGGTGTTCAGTGTGGGAGGGAGGCTCTGGTAGGAGACCAGGAACCCCCAGGCGTTGCCTGTAAGAGACCAGAATTCCTGGGCCCTAAAAGGCCCCTGTGTTCTTGGCTCCCACAACCCCCACTTCACCCAAACTCTCCTAGGCCAGTGAGAGGAGCCCTGGTTGGCACAGGTCCTAGGTTCCTGGTGTGGCCTTGGGCTACTTACATAACCTCTGAGCCCCTGGTTCCCAGTCAGTTAGCACATAAACTGTAGAGGGGTGTATTTTGTCTACAACCTTAGAATGAGTGCTGGGCTTGAGGGCCCTTCCTGCTCAGACAGCCTCATTGGGATGCTGGGAAGTAGAGAAGGTTGCCTCAGTTGTCATCCAGGGCCTGCCTCACCACTACAGGCAAATGATATGCAGATTGGAACTTACAGGGCAAACCCCATACTGCGAACACCTGGTATGTATGACCCAGGGCCTGTGAGAGTCTGTACTCACCTCCCAGGATCCCTGCCCTGAGAGTGTGACATTAAATGGAAAATAAAACAACCATGACGGATTGACAGACTATGAAAGAAAGGAAATTTTTTGTTCCTACTTTTTGAGCTAGAGGCCACTCCGCCCCATTTTCATTTTTCACTGGGCACCATCCCTCCTTTACCAGGTGGGGAAACTGAGGCACAACTCTGGCCTAAAAGCACTCCTCAGATTCATTACAGACAGAGGGAACCACTGAGTTCTAAGCTCAGCTCTGTCACCTGTAACCTTGGGCAAGGCTGTGCCACTTTCTGGGCCTCAGTTTCCCCATCTGTACAATGGGGAGTTGGGAGAGGTGCTCTCTAACAATCCAGGTTTCAGTGAGTTCCATCATCTGGGCTCAGGGACAGCCCTCCCCTGCCCTGTGCTTTGATCACAAAGAGGGTGTTTTTGAGTCCTGGGTGACCTCCGTCAATGCCACTTCTATGATTCTCCAGCCTCAGTGAGAACGGCTTGTCCCTGGACACTGTGATCAGTTTGGCCCAGTGCTTCGCTACAGTGCAGTGGGCTCTCCACCTGGACATCAGGTGAGTGTGCCTCTAGACCCCTGCCCTGTCCCCTCATCTGTCAAATTCATAATGTAGCACCCTCAGGGCCTGGGGGATACAAGGTCAGTACATGTGTGATGGGTATCTGCTGAATGAATGAAGGAAGGAAGGAAGGAATATAGCCCAGGGATACCCAATTGCTCCAAATCCATGAGACACAATCCATTGACTCTCCCTTACTCACACTCTGCATTATCCTGGGAGATGTTTAAGAAAAGTAGGAGATCCCTGGTGACCATTGAGTGCTCAGAGACCTGCCTTCATTGTGGAGTCTCTGGAACCAATGCGACTGTAGAAGGAAACGCACCCAGCAGCGCAGCTCTGGGACATGCGATGCAGATCATCCATGCTTTTGTGCGAGGCCTTCCCCCTTCCCCTCCCAAGAGTGGGAGGTGCGATAGTAGACAGACCAGGTTCAAATCCAGGCTCCCTGCTTACCTGCTGTGCAGCTTTGAGCAGGTCACTGAGCCTCTCCACACCTGTTCCCTCCTCTGTAAAATGGGGGTAAACATACTTCCTTATCTCAGTTTCAGTGTGAGAATGAAAGGAGAGTGTATTGGTGGTGTGCTGTGTATGTGCCTTAGTAAACGTAGTTGTTGTTAGTATATTTATTACAGTATTTGCTGAGAAGGCAGACCACCCTCCAGGCCTCCCTTGGCCCGGCCAGTCTGCTCTCTTACCCCTGCCTGGGAAACGGGCCCTCTGCCCTTTCTCTGACGGCGGCCTCCTTTCTGCCTACAGCTTCAAGAGCCAAGTCATCATCCTGAGAGGTGACAGAAGAGCCAGGTGAGGAGGGAGAGCTCCGAGGGTGGAGTGGGCTACCCTCCCCGCTCTGATCCCCATTTTCTACAGGAACCCTCCACCCTAGACCCGTGCTGACCACTGTCAGCCCTAAAGTAACCCCCCCCCCACCCCAGGTCTGGAAGACTAGAATTAATCACTCTTTCTGTACCTCCCCCCACACACACCCCATATAAATTTGCAGTAATCAGCCACCTTAAATCTCTTGCAAGAAGCCAGTGCGGATGGAGGGAAGGAACAATGGGTAAAGGCCACAGCAGAACAGGCGTTAGCAGGTTGCTGCTCTGTGGGAGGGCAGAGGGGAGCATTTGTGTTGCTGCCTCTCTGGGACTTTTGCAGCCCTCTGCACACTCACAGCTCCAGATGAGTCACTGTCCTTTCACACTCTGAGAGTCAAATTAGAGAAGCCAAGAACTGTTGGCGCTGTAAAAAAGTTTCCACCTGCTTGCTGTAAACAATGAATAATAGTTACTTCTCCACAGATGTTCCTGGCTGCCCTGGTCTAGCTTGGGAGGTTAGCACAAGGGCCTGCTAATGTGGGGCCAGGGGGCTGACGTGGCAGGGGAGAGAACTGGCATTCCACGTGGCTGTCTGACGCCAGGGGTCACCCAAAGCCCGGTAGTCTTGCTTTCCAGACTAGGGTCTCCATTTCTGGGGACCCTCTGGGTTCTTGAGGCCAAAAGAATGGAGGCACAGGAAGGCAGAAGTCATGTGAAGGCCACATTTGGTGATCAGAGAGAGGAGGAACTCTGTCCCGGCTCTCCTGACCGGGTCCGGTGCCACCCCCAGCATGGGTGTAAGCGGCTGGCTTTCTCACTCTGGCCTTAATTTCCCCATCTGTACAGTGAGGGACTTGATTATCACAGGGGCCCCTTCCAGCTCTGACCGATGAGTCTTGCCTTCCAACGTGGATGATTTGAATTTTCCTCTCAAATGTTTTCCCCACGCCAAGGGATCTGTCCGCTGGTGGGTCTTTGCGAGAGTTCCCGGCTGGAACCCAGTTCTCAGGGTTTGGTCAGCGCTGCATCCCCAGGAGTTTCAGGTACCATCTTACCCACTTGTTTGGGGTAACCACAGTGGGGTGAGGGCTCAGGAAGTGAGGAGAGCCTGGAGGTTTCGGGCTGGGGAATGGGAGAGAGAGTTTGAGGCAAGCGGGTAAGAATGAAGGCTGGTGACAGGAGCTGCTGGGCCCAGCGTTCTCCTTAGAGAAAAGATTCCACGCTGATTTCTCGGAAGACTCTGTGGCTCTGCCATGAGGGGCTGTGAGACCCTGGCTGGGCCCCTCCCCTCGCTGGGGCTTGATTTCCTCACACAAGAAGAGAGCCGCCTAAGCTGGGGCCTGAACAGAGTTGTCCAGAGGAGGAGAGACGTAGGGTCCAGACAGGTGAGCCCACCTGTGCGGAGGCTCAGAGGAGCGAAAGCTTGGCTTTTGGGGAGCATTTCAGTGTGGCTGAGGATGTACAAGGAGAGTGGAGGCAAGGAAGCCGCTTTGCTCTCAGCCTGAGGGTGATGGGGAACCACAGAGGTTTTCAGTACAGGCGAGGCCTGGTCGGATGTGCACTGTTAAAAGATGAGACCCTGGCAGGGTGGGGAAGGATGGCAGGGAGGCAGGAGGGGAGGCCGGAGGGTATTAAAGTGCTCCAGGTGAGTGGCGATGGTGGCCCGAACTCAGGCGGGACTCGGTGGGGAGGACTCAGGGGCTGCATGAGGGTACCTGGGCACTCAGGGGTCAGAGTGATGGAACGGGGGGGGGGCTATGAGAGACTTAGGGGTAGACAGTGTCCCCTGCAGGGGGAAGAGCCTGCTGCCTGCAGGTTGGGGAGGAGGCTACTTGGAAGGAGGGGAGAGCCCCTGGGGCTGCACATGGGCTCTGAGCCCTCTCTGAACCCCTGCCCTGCCCACTGCCCCTTTTCAGCCTCAGGGAGTGTCAGCTGGAGCCCCCGAGCCTCACCCACCTCTGTGAGACTCTGGAGAAGTGCCCAGGGCCTCTGGAAGTCAAGTAAGTAAGGAGGAGACAGCCCCAGAGGGCACAATGCAGGCATCTGCCCAGTGGCCTGAAGGGTTGGGGAGTCTTGCTTAGAGGTCACATTTGTCTTTTCTGGTGCCTTCCTGCCAGACCCCATAGCCCAACCCCATGGGAGTTCCCTGACTTAACTCCTAGAAGCCTTGTTGCTCCCAATAGCCCAGATCAGGTACCTCACCCCTCCCACTGAGAGAGACTGTGCTGGGCCCGGGGCTTCGTGTTCCCCAGCTGCCCAACTCAGGGCATCCAGGAGCCTCAGTCTGTTCCCTGCATCCCTGGAACCCCACCCTGGCACCCGCCTAGGCCTGCCTCCGTGGCTGGAGCCTATCACTTCTGAAGGCCTCTCCTCAGGGCCTTCTACTCCTTGTCCATTTGCAGATCCAGTTCTTACCTATTCACAGTCACATACTAGCCATATTCTACAGTTTTACTTTACATCGCACCGTATGTGTTTTTCTATTTTACTAGTCTTTCTTTCTTGCTTTCCGACTCCCATGTCAAGTGCCCTTCTGGCCCTTGGAACAAGCTTATCCATGTTAATCACCTGTGTGTGTCCTTCCATGCCTTCCTCCAAGTTCAAACACATATAGACCCAGAGTGGGGGAGGGTTTGACATTGCTAATAGACACGGGATCTCACCACATAAGCTATCTTGCCCCGAACTTTTGTCTCGTGACACTACATCATGGCTTTCCTGGAATATCAACACATGAAGAACCAATGACTTTTTTTAAAAAAACCATTTATGCTAGAATAGCTTAAAATTTGATTTGCAGAAAAGTGGTAAAGCTAGTCCAGAGAGTTCCCTCACTCAGTTGCCCCAGGTTGTTTATATCACTCGTTATCATGGTACGTTTGTCACAACTAAGAAACTAACCTTGGTGCGTGACTGTTAATTATGTTCCAGACTTTATTCAGATTTGACCCGTTATTCCACAAATGCCTGTTCTCTGACCCAGGATCCCACTTTGCGTTCAATCATCATATTCCGTTGCCGCCTCTGATCTGTGATAGTTTCGCAATCTTTCTTTATTGTTCAGGCATGAACTTGACAGTTTTGAGGAGTACTGGTCAGATTCCCCTCAATTTGGGTTTGGTGTTTTTATCATGGTTAGACTGGGGTTATGGGTTTGGGCTCAAAATACCACAGAGGTGAAGTACCCACCTCATCCCATCTCGGGGGGGCATGCTGTGGACTCGACTTATCACTGTTGTTGTTGCCCTTGATCACCTGGCTGACATAGTATTTGTCAGATTTCCCCACTATAAAGTTACTTCTTAATTTAAAAAACAAAACAAAATCCTTTTACTATGGAAGACTATCAAGCATATATAAAAGCATATATAGGGGCCGGCCGAGTGGCTCAGTTGGTTAAGAGCTCGCTCAAGAGTTTGAGCTCTGAGCAAGTGGTTCGAGTCCAGCCCGAGCTGAGCAGCCAACAGGTAGCAGGATGGCTCAGTAAAAAAAAAAAAGAAAAAAAAAAAAAGCATATATAAAAGCTAAGGGAGCCTTAGCTGCCCTGTAACTAACTCAATAGTTTGTCACCTCATGACCCCAACACACACAAACAGGCACACACACACACACACACACACACACACACACACACACACACGCACGCGTGCGCCCATGTACCCAAACCCATATACATGTCATTTTGAAGCAATTCCCAGACACCTCATGATTTCATCTGTAGCTATTTCAGTATGCATAGCTAAACAATAAATACTCTTTATTTTTTTAACATAGCCACAAAACCATTATCAGACCTAAAATATTAACGTTATTTAATGACATATTAAAATCATCAAATAGCCATTAATGTTCAATTGTCCCTGATTACCTCTCACATGTTTTTTACACAATATATTGTATATTTGTGCCTTTTCTTTTTTTTTTATTTTTAGAGAGAGATACTTTTATTTTATTTATTTTTTTTTTAAGATTTTTTTTATTGGGTAATTGGGGGGATGGGAACAGTACTGGGGAATTAGGGGAAGGGGAACAGACAAGTTGCTGTCGTTTTGTTCTTCAATCTAGTTGTGGAGGACACTGCTTCACTGGCCCAAGTTGGCACCATCATTGCGCTCTTCCCTGGCGAGGCAGATCAGTCGCCGGCTTCTGGACGGCCGCTCACTGCGGCTGCTGGCCGCTCACGCTGGCTGCTGGCCGCTCACGCTGGCTGCTGGCCGCTCACGCTGGCTGCTGGCTACACACGGTAGCTGCTGGCTACACACGGTAGCTGCTGGCTACACACGGTAGCCCATGGCAATCCACTGCCACAGGGACTGCAGCCTACGCCGTCGCCAGCAACTCACGGCAGCCCAGCTCCAGGTTGAGCTGTTGTTCAGCATCTTAGCTGTGGAGGGCAGTGTCACTGGCCCTCATATGTGGGATCCGAACCGGGGCCCTCTGGCATCCCAAGCGAGTTCTTAACCATCGCGCCACTCGGCCGGCCCTATTTGTGCCTTTTCATACTAAACCTCCACAGTTTGAATGTGCCACAAGTTATTCAACCACCCGCTCTAGAGTCAAGATAGACATCAGGCTGCTTCCAGTAATTTTTGTTTTTGTTTTGTTTTCATTTGGTTTCTTGGAATTTTTTTTTCTTCTTCTTCTTCCTCTTCCTTTTTTTTTTTTTTCCCCCTGTAGCATAAAAAGTACTCTTCTGAGAAGTCCTACAGCCAAGAAAACAAATTTGGCTTAACCCAGTATTTTCCAGATATATGTGACTTGCCTTTTCCTCCAGCCTTCATAACTCAACAACCTGGTTGTTCAGAGGGAATGGTTAGGACAACCTGGGTTTAGGACCCATCTCCAGAAGGCTCTGGCTGTGCGGCCATACTCTGAGCTTTGCAGGCTTCCCCACCTCATTCAGATGTTGTGTTTCATAGATTGTCCAACGGGGTCCTGAGTGATCAGAGCCTGGACACCCTGCTGGGGCATTTGCCCCGACTCCACCAGCTGAACCTGCTGCAGTAAGACTGGTTTCCCCACTTCCCTGTGTGGCATGAGGCTCTTGCATTGCAAAGCTATCCCTTCCCTTTTCTTTCTTCTTTCCCTTGGGTTGTGTCATCATTTTATCTGGCACAACTGGGAGCTAGAGTCTACTTCCAGCTCCTCCATCATGCTGTATCAACCTTGAGGGGAGTCATTTGACCCCTCCAGGCCTCAGTTTCCTCATCTAATAAATGGGATTAATATTCCCCAACCCCTCCCCCAGGGATGGGATTCAAACAAGACAGCTGCTTTAAAAGCACCTTGAAGAATAGAAGGCCTGTGACAGGTGGGTTAGTGTACTTCTCCCCAACCATGGAAAGGTCACCTGCTCCCAAAAAGGAACTTTACAGGCAGATGTACGTCATGTATATGTCACATACCGTTTTTTAAAGGTCACCATCTAACTTTGTAAAAGTGAAATTTAGCAACATCCCTCCCCCAAAGTAGTTAAATCTCTATTTTCTAGTTTCAGCTCAGACTGGTTAGAATTTAAAAAGGATTTACTTTAAATCTTCTTCTGGGGAGGTGGTGGGGGGCGAGCAACTGCACCTGAGGTGGAGAAATACAACAAGAAATTGAATCATACCATTAATAACAGCAATATACGCCCTAATGGCAAGGATCTCTGGGACACCTGGGAAGGCTTCCATCACACCTAGGTTCTTGCTCATCCCTGAGTCCTATTGGGGACGGAGGGAGGAGACGGTGACACTCCAGAGGTGGGCAAGTATGGCAGAGCTCATGTCAACCCCCACAACACCCACTCCGGTCCCACCCTGCCAGGAGACAATGGGTCAGAAAGGGCTCCTTTGGACACAGAAGATGGCAAGTTAAAATGAACAGGCGGGAAACCTCAGACCAGAGAGGGGCTTCTCTATGCCCAAGTCACACAGCATCAGCCCCCAACTCCTCATCTGTCTTTTGAATGTGGTGGCCAGCCTGACCAGGGCTTATGCTTTCTATTACTCAGTCCATAGTGCGTGTGCATTACTGTGGACACTGTTAGGGGTGCTGGAGATACAGCACGGGGGAGAGGTAGTGCCACTACTGGCATCTAGTGAATAGAGGTCTGAGATGCTACTAAGCATCCTACAGGATAACCCCCAACAACAATAAATTATCTAGCCCCAAGCTCAGTAGTGCTGAGGTCGATAAACTACTCTAAAGGCTCAAGTATCCCACTCCCTGTCTGCAAGACTTACCTGTTAAGTCTGTGCTTGAGGATAGAAACAATATAATAATAATAACCAGCCTGGGTATCGTGCTAGGCAGCACACACACTTGATGTAACTAAATTCTGATGACACCCTGAGAGGAAGGTAGACCATGAGTCGTCCTGTTTTCCAGGTAAGGAAACTGAGGCTCAGAGAGCTTAAGTGACTTATCCAAGGACACACAGCCAGTAAGCAGAACTGGGGCTCAAATCCAAGTCTGCTTGACCCCAAGCCTCTATTTGTCTCTCTTGAGTCCCTGCCTTCTTCCTTATTGCCATGCTGACCTGCCAGCCCTCCCTATCCTCTGGCTCTTTCCCCTCCAGCCTATCCCGGTCCCTTGCCTACGGGTCTTGCTTGGCTCTGATTTGCTGACTTAGGGCCCCTGCTCCTTTCCTTCTCAGGCTGAGCCAGATGAGCTTGTCGATAAGGAGCCTCTTCCTGCTGGCTGACCTCTTCAGCCTGTGCCCACGAGTTCAGAAGGTGGATCTCAGGTGGGCATTGCCCTGGGGCAACCAGGGCTGGTCTTGGAGGGTAGTGCCTGAAGTCTGGTGGGTGTGAGGGGAAGGATGGAGGCAATAAGACCCAAGTCAGAGGCTCAGCTTCTAGAAGAGGGGGTGCCTGCCCCCCGCGGGCATCCTGAGGCTGTGGCCAAGGGTGGCTGACCCAGGTGCTGTCTGCTCCAGGTCCCTGCTCCACGTGACCCTGCACTTCAGGTCTAACGAGAAGCAGAAAAGCGGGTGCTATGGGTAAGTCCTCTGGAACTGTGCCCTGGCAGCTAGTGGGTATTGGGAATGATTCGACCTGCCTCCTGAATGACCAGAGCAGAGGACAGACAGCAGAGGACGAACACGCAGAGGATTTCCTCCGAAGGACCTGCAAGGAGACTTGTTTTCTCCAACATGAAGAAGCAGGAGTCCAGAGAGGGCCAGGCTTTGTCAAGGGCAAAGGAGGAGTACACATCAGACTCAGGAACCTGGTCCAAATAAAAAGACTTCACAACCTGCCCACTAGGCTTTAAATCCCAGCCGAGGGCTTGGCACTTTGGGCAAGCCCCTTAACCTCTCCGATTCTCAGCTTCTGCAGCTGGAGAAGGAAGACACCACACTGCAGGGCATTTGCAAGGATTAAATGAGACAACATGTAAAGTGTGCATGTCACAGGTGCTGACTCCTAGACCAGTGCTCTGTGGTTCCCCCAGGTGAGAGGGGGGCAGGTATATTGCACTGCAGGCAGGATGATGGGGCAAGTGAGTGACCTCTGAATGCAGAGATGACATTTCTGTTAACTATTTGATGCCACTGGCTTGCTCAGCAATCTTGGACCAGACCCTTCTCCTCGCTGTGCCTCAGCATTCTCAGCTGTGAACTAATAATTAGAAGAGCTAATGTTTGTTGAGCATCTGCAGGGCACCAATCTGAGAGCCTTATACATATCACCTCCTATAAACCTCACAGCTGTGGTCACACTGCATGTCACATGTAAGGGGTGCAGCTGGGACTCGAACCCACACCATTCTACAGTACTTCTAGCCCAGGGGCAGACAGACTTTTTCTGTAAATGGTTAGATTGTAAATATTCTGGGTTTTGCAGGCTATATGGTTTCTGCCTCAGTTACACAATTCTACTGTTTAGCTTGAAAGCAGCACAGACAATACGTAAAGTAAGGCATGTGGCCGCGTGCCAGTGAAGCTGGATTTGTGGACACTGAGACTTGGATTTCATATAATGTTTGTATCATGAACTGTTATTCGTCTTTTGATTTTTTTCTCAACCGTTTGAAAATGGAAAAATCATCCTTAGTTTACAAACCATATAAAAACAGGTGGCTTTGGCTGTAGTTTTTTGACGTCTGTCCTAGCCTGACACTACCCTGACCTCTAGAACACCATGGTAGTTTCTAAGCCAGTGGTTTCCGAAATGTAGGACAAAGACCAGGATGGGTTGATTTTTAGAAAGCTGGGCAGATGGTAGAGCCGTTCATCTTCATTGAATCCTTAAGGAGGTCATTATTCCCTCTGTCTGATGAAGGCCAAGAGGAAGTCTCAGCTGGATGTTGGCGTGTCTGTAACACCTTTCTAACACTTACTAAGCTCCCTTTTAAGAAAGAGAGCCCTTAGCAGGCGTCAATATCTGGCTCAAATTTAATGGTGATAGTTTACTCTTATTTCATATATTCTTATGGTCTGCTTGTGGCATGCAATGCCAGTTTCCCATTTGAGTGAATGATACAGGATTTTCTTTTACACTAAATGCATTAAATAAAAAGAATGTGCTGATTTAAAAATAGGAAGTAAGTAATAGTATAAAAGGGAATTTAGGACTCTGGGGGAAATCATGGAGAATAACAGTGATACAAATTGGAAGTAATGATTTTAGGAACTTTGTGATTTTAAGATTCTTTTTTTTTTTTTTTTTAGTTGCTGGCTGGTCATAGGCTCTTCCTTTAACTTATTGTATGGTCTCATTTTAGGCCTTTCAAAGGCAGATTTATCATTACTTTTCATTTCAGGATCAGTAGCCCTCTGCAAGAGCAGACCTCACCCTATTCTCCTCCACCCCGCTCCCCATGTCTGTTCATTAAAATGGAGCTAGAGTTCTCCAACTTGAGCTTGAATCAGAGTCAGCCAGAGAGCTTGCCCCTGCAGTTTCTGATTCAGGGGGTCTGGGCTGGGTCTCCAGAATTAACCTCTTATCAAGTTCCCACTTTCAGAACCACTTCCCCAGAGGGAACCCGTGGGTGCCAGGTGGGATCTGCTGCAGGGGAAGTGCAAGTTGTGGATGCTGATAGTTCCCGAGAGTCCACGCTTGGGCGAGTCCCCATCATGGGAGCTGGGAGGCCACACCTGGGATGAGCCAGGGACAGCAGGTCTGAGTGGCTTAACACCTCAGCCCTGGCTTGTTCTCCGTCCTCCAGCGTGTTCACGGGCTGCGGCCTCAGCCAGGAGCATGTGGAGCCACTGTGCAAGGTGCTGAGAAAGTGTGAAGATCTCAGCCAGCTGGAGTAAGTTGGGGGAGGAGGAGGAAGAGGAAGGAGGAGACCAGGAGCCTGTGCCTGGGTGTCACTGGAGGGGTGTGTGTGTGTGTGTGTGTGTGTGTGCGCAAGCGCGCGCGTGTGTGTGCGTGTGTGTGTGTGTGTGTGTGTGTGTGTGTACGCACGCAGGCGCAGGCGCGCACACTCTCAACACCTCTGAGGACCAGCTAACGGGATGCCCGGGACTCTGTGTCACATCCATAAGGTTTCTCTGTACCCATTTTTATCCCTCCCGCCCCCTACTCTCACCATGGCGGAGCTAGTTGAGCATGAGTTCTTGATCTAATTTGGGAAGTCCTTCAAAAAGGGCCACAGGAGCACCTTGGCCTCATGTTGATCAAAGCATTGGAGCTCTGCTGGGGGATGAGGACTAAAATGAAGGCTCCATTGGTTTCTCTGGCAAAGTACTAAATGCCTCAGCCTGAGGGGGTTCCCAGGGCCAGCTGGGTGGGGATTCATGGGCTCCTCTACTGTTGAGAAGTGGTATCTGTGTGGCCTGTCTTGAGCGCCCAAATCGCGCAGCCCCCGCATGGGTAGAAAGATAATAATAATAGCTCTCACTTATTGAGTACTTTCTACATTGTTCTATGTGCTTTAGATATTCTTTTTATCCTCCCAACAGACCTAGATACTATTGTCCCCATTTTATAGGTGAGAGAGCTGAGGTCCAGAGAGTTTAAGAATTTGGCCAAAGTCACACAGCTAGTACAATGCAGAGTCTTTGTTCACAACCGTTAGAAATCCAGCTTAGGACCTGTAGGAGTTAAAGAGAGCTGTGTACAAAATAAATAAATAAATAAATAAATAAATAAATAAATAAATAAATATTAAATTCCTGTTGTGATATGGCCAAAAAGAGAAATGTGACTGATGAAAATCATGTATCTTAAAGAAAGAGGAATAAGCAATGTGCCTTTGAGTTTTTCTGTGTTTTCATTGTAGAGGGCACTTTTTTTTATTTTAAAGATAGTAAGTGGCTTCATGAGACAAACTAATTTTTACAGTTTCTCAGGGAAAGATGAAATAAACAAGCCTCAAAAGTGTCATAATCAGGGACAAAATGAGTTCAATCAGATATTCCAGGGCGCACTGGTCATATTGTCTCTGAAACTGGAGCCAAAACCATAGAATGCCACCATGAAGGGAAATCAAGTATTCAAGTGCCATTTCCGATATCGCATTCCCAAATTAAAAGAGGAAATCTGTTGGGAAAGCACATCCTCCAAACATTTTTTTTTTTAATTCCTGAATTTACTCCTGTTCAAAAATGGCGGCTCCCATCTGATACAGGCCAAGGGCATGGTAAAAGCTGATTGGTTTTTCTCTAACTCCTGAAAGCCTGCCGGAGTCCTGGGAGTGGTCCGCAGATACTGACGGGGAAGAGGAGGGCTGGTTAACTGTGGTGTTGGTGAGGGGAATGGTGATGGGAACACAGGAACTGCTGTGTGGGGTGTGAGTGGTGATAACTCTAGTGGCGATGGAGACAGTGGTGGTTGTGGTGATGAGTAGTAACGATGGGATGGAGCCAGTGGTGGCGATGGTGCTGTTGGGATGGAAGCAGTGCTGAGTGGAGGAGATGATGGTGATAACGGGTGATAACGGGAGTGTTGAGTGGGTAGAGTAGCGTGATGGTAGCTGGAGATAAGGCACTGGTTGAGGGGGGCACATCTGACCCTCCTCTTACCTCTTATAGCCTCTCAGCCAACCAGCTGGGTGATGACGGGCTCAGGTACCTCCTAGAATGTCTGCCTCAGGTGCCCATCTCCGCTTTACTTGAGTAAGTGACTGAGCAGTCTCAAGGACCGCAAGGAGGAAGACTCCTCTGAGCCCAGAGCATGAATTTTGAGGGATCCCTAGAGAACCCCAGAGGGCAGGGATGGGGAGGGGAAAGGGGTGATTCTTCCCTTGACATCCTCCCCTGCCTTGGGTCCTTCCCTCCTTCCCTCACTGCCCACCTTGGGAAGAGCCCCCACCAGACACCCAGGACAGGCTACAACTAAAACTTGGTAACCCAAGCTGACTCCGGCAAAGAGCAACAGTTCATCCCTAACCAGCTGACGTGGGATCTTAACTGTCCCAGCTCCTGGTCCATCCTGTCCCTGAAGCTCCTCTGACCAAGGGTATGGGACACAGTTTTGGAGATGTCCCAACAACCGGGAGGGTCCCTAGGAAGTCATCCTCACTCTCACCAATCTTTCCAGTGACCTGGGAGACAGGTGGCCAGGACTAGGATGCAACCCATTGCTAGGCACCTGAGCTTTGTGCTCTGTGTGGGGCTGCCATCCTAACCTCCTCAGTGCCCTGTCCCAGACCATAAGGACAGCAGGCACAGGTCGCGAGGACTCAGGGTCTGGTGCCTGTCCTGACCACGTGGTTATAGTGCCCCTCTGGCCTGTCTCTGGACCTCAGTGTCTTCACCTGGAGAATGGACACTTGGACATTGAGGACTTTCCCGAAGATGACAGCTGGAGGGGAAGACACAAGGGGGCGGGGCAGGACTCCACTGAGATGCTGACCCCCATGCCCTCCCCCATCCTGAACCTCGTTTCTCTCCTAGTCTGAGTCACAACAGCATCTCTCAGGAAAGTGTCCTATGCCTGGTGGAGACTCTCCCCTCCTGCCCACGTATCCGGGAGGCCTCGGTGAAGTAAGGAGATACTGGTGCCACTTGCTGATGGTGGGGGATGTCTGTGTGACTTGGGGCAACCTCTGAGTCTCCAGGGTTCACTGAATGTGGGATCACAGTTTCCATCCTCTGCGGCCCGCATGCCATGGGGACCAGGGAGGTCACAGGGTAGGGGAGGCCAGGCTTCAGGGTCCCCACAGAATGAGTTGGGTCAGCAAGGGCCTCCCCCACCCCTCGCCCCTGCGTCTCAGCCCCGTTACCTCCTGTGTCCCCTAATGCCTGGGTCTCGAGGACGCTGGTAAGTCTGTGGCCTCCTCACACCCCTCTCTCTGCAGCCTGGGCTCCCAGCAGAGCTTCAAGATTCACTTCTCGCAACAGGAGGAGGCTGGGAAGACACTGAGGTAATTCCCGTCCGGGGCGAGGGGGGAAATCCTGGCCCTGTGGCAGCTCCATGCTGCCTCCTTCGCTGGGCCCGCTCCTCCTTCTAATACCCGACTTCATGCCACTGCCCAGCTTTGCCTCCCTGTCACCTTCTCCCAGCCCCCACTCCTCTAGCCCTTGGGCCTGGCCTTCACATTGTCTCTGTGCCTCTTAGCCGTGTCTTACCTATAAATCTGGATGCTTCGGCGTATCATGGGTAAGAGCTTAGACTCTGGGACCACCTGCGGGTACATCCCAACTTGACCACTTACCAGCTGTACGCCTTTGGACACGTGACTTAACCTTTCTGTGTTTCAGTTCCTCATCTGTTACTGTGAGAATTAAATGAGTTAACATGTATAAAGCGCTTGGAAAGGGCCTGGTTCATTTGAGTGCTCTGTCAGCTGTTGTTGCCATTATTACTATTGTTATTATTATTGTTGTTGTTGTTGTTGTTGTTGTTACTCCCTGGTAGCCTTGGGCTTTGTCTCCCTCTCTCTCAACCTCACCACTACTGCCTTGAGTCGGCACCTCTACACGTCTTACTTCAGCTGTGACTGTGGCCTCCAAACTGGCCCACTGTCTCTGGTCAGGCCTTCTCCAATCCATTCACCCCACAGCACCCAGAGGGGTCTTCCTGACACACCTCTGACGAACGTTTCTGGGTGAACTTCAAATTCCTTAGCCTGCTCTTCTCCCGCACAGTCTGATTTGACTGTTACCTCCTACCATGTCCTTCCTCACCCCCCACACCATACACACGCGCGCGTGCACGCGTGCACGCGCGCGCGCGCACACACACACACACACCACACCTACATACATCCCACACACAACACATACACAACACACATACCACACCACACACCACACCTACATACATCCCACACACAACACATACACAACACACATACCACACCACACACCACACCTACATACATCCCACACACAACACATACACAACACACATACCACACCACACGCACCATACACACCCACATCTCACAACACACACCCACACATACATGCACACACACTATACACCTGCCCCCCCACACACACACACAACACACAACACACATATTCAGCCACAAGGGACCTTTGCTCCTTGTTCACTGAACACGTACTGTCTGATAAAGCTTCCTTGCCAACCTGGGTGCTCAGCCTGACTTCTCTTCCCTGCCTTTTCTGAGATGAAATGCTGCCCGCAATCCTTTAAGACTTGGCTCAAATGTCAGCCCCTCCCGGAGAACGCCAGTGGCCCCTGTCCGTTAGCATGAACCACGCACGATGTTGTGCTTGTGCTGGGCCCTCGTCTCTGCCCGTCTGCGAGGCAGTGGTCTGGGGCCTGTCTGCTGGCCACACAGGGCCAGACACCTGGAGGCAGGGCCATGGTGACAATCCGAGGCCCTCCTCCCCGCAAGGGAGCCTGGGATAAAGTGGTACTGGAGAGGAGGGGGGTGGTTATGGGTTTGGGGTCCGGAGTCAGGCTGAGCTGGATTGAAATGCTGCCCTTCCTTCCGACCAGCTTTGTGTCCTTGCGTTAGTCAGCTGCTCCGCCCGTAAATGACACTGTTGGAATTAAGTGAGGTACTGCATGTAAGGCAGGCATGCCTGTGTGCTCACCCTGTGTACCCAGAGGCTGGCATAGGGCCGGGCATATGGTCAGGGCTCCATAAGTGACTCACTTCCAGCATTTTCTTGGGGGACAGTCTCTCCAAAGAGACAGGAAGCTCCCAGGGAAGGAGCTGCATCTTTGGCTTTTTTTCTCAGGCCCTGGTCCAGGCCTTTGAACTCAGTGCCTGCCCCCCCATAGGTCCTGGGGGAAACTGGGAGGAGGCAGGACAGTAGCCTTCCCAGGCCTCACCCAGGCTCTGCCCTTTGCCCTTTGCCCTCTGCCCTCAGGCTGAGCGAATGCAGCTTCGGGCCTGAGCATGTGCCCAGACTGGCCACTGGCCTGAGCCAGGCCCGGCAGTTGAAGCAGCTGACGTGAGTGACAGGGCCCCTCCCATGGGAACAGCTGAGGGGTGGGGGCTCACTGCCAGAGCCACTGTGGTAACCTACGTCTGTCCCCAGGCTGACTCAGTGCTGCTTGAGCCTGGAAGACCTGACTGTCCTCCTGAGTCTGGTGAGATGGCCAGAGGGGCTGCTCAGTCTCAGGTAATGTCTTCCTCTGTGCCCCTGGCTGGAGGCCATGGCATGAAATGGGGGGCAGGGGCGGGCACTGGAGAATGGGTCCCCCCAGGATCATGAGCCTGACCATTTCCTGCACCCAGAACCCCGCCACCTAGCCCCAGAGTCAACCCTGCCCGTATGTCCCAGAGAACCCCTCAGGCACAGAGAAGCCACCTTCTCCAGGGTGGGGCTTATGCTTGGGGACTTAAGGGGAAAAAAAACGCCCAAGGACACCCAGCTAAGGTCAAAAATAACAAACATAATGTTTGTATGTTCACTATGATCATTTTAAAACTTGCAAAAAAAAAAAAAAAGAGAGAGAGAGAGAGAGAAGATACCAAAAAGAATCATTTTGAAAACTCATATTCCCATCACCTAGGTTTGACAGAGGTTCACATTTTTTCCAAATTTGCTTCACTTTCTTATTTTGGCTGAAGTGTTTAAAAGTAAGTTACAGATCTCATAAAATATCATTCAAATATTTCACTATGAATCTTTATAAAATAAGGACATTTTCTACATATCACAGTTGAATTAGGACACCTACAAAAATCAGTAGCAATTCCT